CCCTGGTCAGTTTTTTTTTTTGCTCAAAGTTTTGCTGCTATTGTGGGGGGAGGCGTGAGAGTTTCTCAAAAATCAAAAAGGGGGCGTGATGCTGAAACGTTTGGGAACCCCTGTTGTAGATGGTCGACGATGAGCTGGAGGGGTTTCAGCTGAGGCTGTAGGCAGGGGATGCCCCGGGTGTTCTGCTGTTTTCCTCCTTGGGCCCATCTTAAAGAAGCAAATGCCTGGGCGCTCGTCTGGCTCTGTCAATCCGTTTTTTCCCTTCCCCGGGTGGTGTGTTCGTGTGAGGCGCGACTCCCCTGGGAGCTGCAGAAATTCCACCCTCTCCTCTTCTCTTTGAGCTGGGGCAGGCTCCAAGTCCTCCTCCCCCACCTCTTGTCCCCCCCTCCCCCCGCCATGTGGTGGAGTCAGATTGGAGCCCACAAGAGCGAAGAGAAGACCTTCTGCTGTCCCAGCCCCTGTGCCCGCCCTGTTGGGATGCGGCGTGCCGCCCCGGCCTAGCCCCACTGCAGAACCCCTCGGTGCATGGAAATGACATTTCCCTCAATTCCCCGCGTTCATTAGCCAGGCGCTCGCTGCTCCAAGCCTCTCTCCTCCGGCTGCTGTTCTCCAGCGCTCCCCGGCCCCTGACTGACAGGCCCCCCACCCCCGCTGCACCGAGAGACCGACGAACTCATTGAGTTCTGGGGCTGATTTCTCACGCTCCGCTGCTGGTGTTGGCATATTCCGGGCTGTATTTTGACATTTGATAATTAATTTTGCCTAGAATTATTATGAATAAAAAGCCCACAACCCCGATGCACCCCGCAGCTGGCGTGTGTTTGCATCTGAGACCGTCTGGTTTGATTGCAGGTCAGGGAGGGGTGTTGTGTGCGGTGGGGGGAGAATCTTGATTTGACTCTTTCATTGCCCCCGAAGAGTGGAAGATCCCACCCACTCTCCCTACCCCCCGCCCCTGAACACAGGCGCGGGAAATAGGGGTGCAGGGTGCTGTGGAACACCGCAGACTTTGCACCCCATGCCAGGGTTCCAGTTGCCAGCCCCAGGGGATCCTGACCACTGGCTCCCCACCTGAGGTTCCAGCCACTTAGACCCAGTGTCTCCCAGGGTCCTGGCAGCCAGTCCTGGGGGCTCCTGGGGGCTCCGCTGCCAGCCCCTGGGTCCCTCAGCTGTACCCTTAGCTTGGGACAGTGAGGGGTGTGGGCAGGGGTAAGGCAGGGCTCAGCTCAGCACCACCACCCTAAAAATTGTGCCAGCACCACTGCCCCGGGAGGTGAAAATATGCTTGGGTCAACCACAAGCGGGCTCAGCTGAGCTGGGGAGGGAGCCGAAGGCGCTGGGCGGGCGGGGTGTGTGGGCTCCTGAAGAAGCATTTTGCTAGGGGGGAAGCGCGGGGAGAAGGAAATGAAATGGACGGGACTGTGGAAATGGAGGCCCTGCCAGGCGATCTCCTCCTAGTGCAGCTGCAATTCCTGACGGAGGCGACGCCACCAAATGGAGAGAGGGCCAGATAGAGAGAGACCCGCACACACCACCCCGGCCTCTGCAAACTGAGAACTTGACTCAGGGGCTGTGGCCATGGTGGCGGGGCACGCGCTACACTCTCAAAATGCAGATGCATCTGGCCAATGCTACGCTCTCCTGGAGTTGCGCTGTGCTGGTGTGCAAAGCGGGGTTTGCTGTGCTTTCCTCACCAGGGCAAGGCACCCGCACGAGGCTACAGCAACAGTGCCACATGCAGTACAGCCTCTGTATAATACAGTCACATGCAGGGCTGTCTCAGTACAGTATAATATAGTGCATGCAGAATAGTCTCAGTACAGTACAGCTGCATGCAGAACCGTCTCAGTACAGCCACACCCAGTACAGTTACAGTACAGTCACTTGCAGCACAGTCTCAGTACAGCTACACCCAGTGCAGTTTAAGTACAGTACAGCCACCTGCAGCATATTCTCAGTACAGCTACACCCAGTACAGTTTAAGTACAGTACAGCTGCCTGCAGCACAGTCTCAGTACAGCTACACCCAGTACAGTTTAAGTACAGTACAGCCACCTGCAGCATATTCTCAGTACAGCTACACCCAGTACAGTTTAAGTACAGTACAGCCGCCTGCAGCACAGTCTCACCCCAGTGCCCACAAGCCCATAGTCCAAAGAGAAATGAGATCCTGTGGCTTGGAGAGTGGGACTGAAATGCTCAGTGATGGTCCCACCTGTCAGAGCCAGGGCCTCTCCAGGCAGCCCTACCAATGCATGGGAGCTCAGCCGTGCCCCTCTGGAGGTGTTGGCCGTGCTCAGACATCTCCGCTGCCTCTAGTCCAGGCAGCCTAGCTCAGTCCTGCCTCCGCGCTCGCAGCTGCTGCACCTGACAGTGGGTCCCCAAGGGCGTGGCCCCTGCTTCCCAGCGGGGTGCAGGGGAGGCAAAGAGAAGGGCTGCTGCCAAGATACATACCAAGGGTTCCATCCTTGCATCCCTGGCTCCCCTAAAATTCCCTGCTGAGGTCAACAGGAAGGTCGGGGCACCCAGATGGCAGCCGTAGGCCCCAGGGATTCCCACCAGTGTTACTAACCGTCCCAGGCATTATTAACCAAGGGTATCAACAGCACGAGGCTCGTCGTGGGGGCTTGAACCCACAAAGCCAGTGCTCCTGCTGATGGCCTTGCCTGCCCAGCCTGCACATGGCGCGGCAAGTACACAGCACGCGCCGAGTGGCTGGCTGCAGCTGAGTCAACTGGTCCCTGCTTATGGAGCCGGTTTGCATTATGAGTTTCCCTCAGCAAGGAGACAGACAGTTTCCCTTCCTGGCTGCTTTGTCCTAGCGGTTGTGCCAGGATCTTCCATGCTGCAGGGGAGCCCGTTCCATGAATACAAGCCTCTGTCGCTGAAACCAAAACACTCCCTTTGCTGCAAACATTTCTGTCCGTGGGAGGTTTTCTAAGACTCACCCTAACCTCCGGAGCAGCCTCTCCCACTAGGGCCTCTGCTGTGCTTTGTGTTGCCATATGGTGCAGTGACTGGCTGTTTTTTCTGTTCCTTTACGTGTCTAGAACACATCCGACCTAGAGGGAAACGGAGAGGGACTCCAGAACAGTATTAATGCCCTGCCAGACATCTCTCTGGTAAGATACCTCACCTTCTTTTCCCTGCTTTATTCAGTGCTTCCTCAAATGGAAATCAACAATGAATGAAGGCACCCATACTTTGGCTCATCTTCTCCAGTACTTTCCCACACCCCTTACCTGTGGAACTCACTGCAGCAGGACATGATTGATGCAAATAACATCACAGAATTAGGGAAAAGGACTCAGGATCTGAGAGTAAGAATAGTATTCACAGATACTGGAGCTAAAATCGGGATTACCAGACTTTTCCCTCTATCAATCGTCACGCTCCAGAAGATATTCAGATTGCTGCTGAAATTTCCAGCCTGTCACCTCCAATCCAGGGGACATGTCTGAGATTGGTCATTGCAGATGACAGAAGACCAGGCTATGGGGCAGTCTGCAGGTCTCCAGGAAAGGGAAGGATCTATCGTCTCACATTGTGGCACCTAATGGCTTTTTTTGTTCTGGTTTTCCGCAGGACGATGTTTCGTCTTTCCCTGAGGAACCACCCAGCTTTAAGCCCCCACCCCCTTTTCCAGCTCTAGCTCTGGATTCCTCCACTGCTCAGCTCCGAAATGCAGCAACAGACACACCCAAGCGCCCTTCCTCCGAATCCTCCCAGTCGGGCCTTTTCTTCATGGCCCCTCGCAGCCCCACCCCGTCTCCCAGCCACCCCGAAAAGGATGCGGCCAGCATGGCTTCCACCTTGGCCTCCGTGTCCACCGAGGATTCTGGCTCGAGCGCCATCTATGCCGCTGTGTCCCCTGCTGGTCACAGCACTAGGCGGCACATGGGTGCCCACTTGTCCCTGGTCAACCAGCACCTGATAGGCCCCTTCCCCAGAGTTCAGTCTCCAACCAGGCTGAAGACTCCCTCTCCTGAGAGCACCCCAGCCAGTAGCCTCCCGACACCTGCGCCTCTATCCCCTCCCCCACCCCTGGCGCCCCTGGAGCCAGACAAAGGCAGCCCGCAGTCCGCGATCAACCAGCACTTTATCATGGTGGAGGTGCATCGGCCCAACAGCGAGCCGGACGTGAACGAAGTGAGACCCTTGCCCCAAGCCCGAGGTGGGTGGCTCTGCCTGCTCGACTGATCCTGGGGGGCACTGCCAGGTTAAAGCACCGGGGCCCAAATGGCCACTCCGGTGGCTAAGGCTAAAGGGACTTGCTCACTCTCCCTCCTTTGCATGGCTCAGCTTGGACTCTGAGACTGGTCAGTTTCACTCTGCTGTACAGCCACCTGCTAGTCAATTTCCATTTTCAATTCTCATGATCTCCCAAGGCCTGGATGAGCAGGGGGGGAGCAATTGACAGTGAAACCTTCTCTAAGGACATGCAGTGGGGAGTGGAGCCCTGCGGGGACAACAGAGCTATTCTGCTGCCTCACTCAGGCAGTTAGATCAGGGACACCTGACTAGCCCAAACTCTGGACTAGAAAAGGCTATGAGTTTTTCTGAGGCAAGAGAGAGCTAGACACTAGGATGGGGAGAAACCCTTGAGACCAGCCAGATGATGGAGCAGTTTGGGCATGTCTGCACTGCAGGGCAAAAGTCAAATCAAGAAGCACAACTTCAGCCACGTCAATTGCCTCGCTGAAGTCAAAATAGCTTCCTTCGGCTGTTGGTGCCGGCTACGCAGCAGGCAGTTGAAGGAAGAGCACTCTTCCTTCAACTTCCCCTACTCCTCGTGCAAAGAGGGTTGCAGGAGTCAAAGTAGGAAGTCCTCCATCTCTATGTCATTTCAAAACATCAGCTTGCTGTGTAGACACACGCTATGTTACTCCGAAAAAACGCTGCTGTGTAGACATACCTCTTGAGGGCTGAGTCCGTCTGTAAACACAGCCCTGCTTGAGATCCTCAAAGGCAATTAGGCTCCTCATTGCCATCTGGGCCTGTGTTGCGAAGGGCTTGTTTGCACAGGGAAATGGACCGGCATGGCTCTTCTGGGATAAGAATGTGTAATGGAGACCTACTGCACTTTAAATTCACCCCTTATTCTGGAATAACTTCCACGTGGAGACAAGCCCCGCCTTAAACCACAGGAAAGAGAGACTTTGGGGCAATACCCAGGGTGTCCTCCCTGTGGTAGAAGCTACGCTGCCAACTCACAAGATTTTGGTGCAATACTTTGCTGCCTATCTTGAAGCCCCAGCTGCTGGAGTCATGTGAGAATATCAGACGCTATGTAAAAACAATCAGTGTCTAGTCTTCCTAATGATGAATAAAAGACTGGAATTACCTTTATTAGCAATACAGTACCCTATAATACCTAGCTTTTATGTACCTAGGGATTATATCCTAATATTCAGTTTTAGGGTCAAAAGCAAGAGGGCAAATCATTATTGTTTGAATCTCAAGATTTTTAAGCTGATTTCCTGATATTTGCATGCTTGCCGCTGGCAGTGCTATTGGAGTGGGGCTCATTACAGAACCCTGCTGCCCTATGCTCAGTGAACTTTTATAAGCCTCCCCTAGCTCTCCAGTGCAATTTTACTTGACCTTTCGTTAAAGACCAAGCTGTGCGAGGCAGCTGATTGCAACTGGTCTCCTGGGCCAGTCTTGCTGTGTTTGTTAATAAAATCTGTTTCTGATGGAATTTGAAAAGAAAGGAGAAATAACCCCGGGACTTTTTCCATTAGTGTTTGGGGTGAGAAGAGCTTGTTTGGCAAAAAACTAAATTGGGAGGGGAGATTTAACCAGGCAATGGTTCTTGACGCGTGTTTGGAGAGAGGGCAGGAGACAAGGGCAGTGCAAAGAGGAGGTCAAAGGAAAGTTACCCACAAGGAAACAGATGAGGTCCCAAAGGGGTAAGCTGCCTTGCGTTGCCGGTAGAGTTGCTATCACAATGGATCGAAGTTGGGGTGTACCCAAGTCAACAGATATTCTGCCTCATCGACCCCTTGCTCAGTCCTTCATGAGCAGTGGAAGTGTCCCCAGAATCCAGTTCCAGTATGACCAAGAATCCAGGACTGGATTTCTCTGGGACTTGTAAGCCAGAAGCCCTGGTTCCCATTGCCACCAGGGCCTGCTTGGCTCACTTCACCTCCCCAGGCCCTGTAACGGGGCCTTAATATAAATGAGAATCAGCCCCAAAGTTTGTCCTGCTCCAAATACAGTTGGGGGAAAAACCCGAACTGGCTCGCTGCGCCCGCCTGGATCGGAGCCTGGCCGGGAACCTCAAAGGGCAATTTTCCATTTGCTCCTGGGTGCCAGACTGGGAACGCTCCATGTGGGTGGCTTTACTGCCCTCTAGTGGTTGTGTCTACACACTGCCAATGTCACTGCAGGTGGAGGAGAGAAGACAAGATTTTCTGGTCTCTGCCTGGCCACCGCTCCAGCATTGGCAACGGGTTCATAGGGCCAGACACAGCCCATCCCCCGCCTGCTCTTCCTGCCAGTCATGGTTTGAGCCCCCACCTGCAATGCCATTCAGAATGGTAGTTCAGATTTGTATTATTGATTAGTATCTTTCCAGGAGCAGCTGAGGCTCCAGGTGAGGTCAGGGGGCGTTGCTCTGGGCGCTGGACACAGATCTGAGAGACTGGCCGCAGCCTGAAGAGCTAACACTAAATGCACAAGAGGGACACAAGGTGGAAAAGGAAAGGGGATGGAGTGACATGCCCAAGGTTACTCAGCGGGACAGTGGCAGAACTAGGGCCGGTGGCCTACTCCGCTGTCTTCTCCACCAGCCCACACGGCCTAGCTAGCTCTTCTAGCGCACTAGGCTAATAAGAAACTTGCTGAGACCCATTTCAAGCTCTTGTCCCATACGTTCGGCCGGGACACTGACCTTGATTCCCTGTTGCTGAGCCTGGGAATGGAGGCACCTCCAGAGCCTGGGGCTGATAGACATCAACCTAATACCCTGCTGCTAGACACAGATTCTCCCATTCCCGGCACTCCCTGGACCTCCTCCCCGCCCCGGCCGAGGAGAGCCTGGCTTGGCCCTGCAACCTGCACACCCCATGCCTCCCCTGCCGAACCTTCCCATCCCTCACGTCGGTAACACCTCAGGCCAGCAGAGGTGCCCCCAACGGAACTCCCCTCAAAGTCTAGGTTGGCCCGATTCCTGGCAGGTCTTCGGGGGCCCATACCCAGGCAAGACAGCTGAGCCATGAAGCTCATTGTCATGCACCTCGCTATCGTAGGACTTAATCATTTCAAGAGGCACCGTGGCCTGGAGCCATTTCCCGCCCGCAAGCAGCTCGAGACCCGGTAGAGTCCCTCTGCTTTGTAACGTCTCCGGGACAAAACTGCCCACCCTCTGCAGCGTGTGTGGAGCAGACACCCCCCAGAATCGCAGAGGGCTTCGCCTCTGCCGACCAGGTAGAAGGTTCACCGTGTCTGAGGAGAGTTGCCATGTGCGGGTGCTATGGGGGGATAGTCCTGCCCTGTCCGGAAGAACGGGATGGGGGGAAATTCTCCCCTGTGCATGCAGCAGGCTCCAATGTAGTTTCTATGCCACTTAGGTCCCTCTTGGGACCTCTTCTGAGGGGTGAAGGGACACGTAGGCCTTTTGCTGGGGCTCTGCACAGGGGTGGATTACACCTGGCCTGTCCTAATTGGTCTTTTCCATTAGAATCCTAGGGCTGGAAGAGACCTCAGGAGTCATTGAGTCCAGCCCCCTGCCCAAAGCAGGACCAACCCCAACTCAATCATCCCAGCCAGGGCTCTGTCAAGCCGGGACTTAAAACCTCTAGGGATGGAGATTCCACCCCCGCCCTAGGGAACCCAGCCCAGTGCTTAACCCCACTCCTAGGGAAATAGTTTGTCCTAATCTCCAACCTAGAACTCCCCCGCTGCAGCTTGAGACCACTGCTCCTTGTTCTGCCATCTGCACCCCTGGGAACATTGCTCAGTTCTGTCATTAACCCTTTGATTACTGCACAGAATGTGGCAGGGACTTGTGGTGAAAATATCGGCATTCAGCTGGGGTAAGAGGGTGCAAAGTCAAGGGGACATGGATGGCTGCAGAGAGCACCCGCAGCCAGACTGAGCCCTCTGCCCGACTTTGCAGTGCCTGGCAAATGAGGTTTCCACAATGAATGCTGTGGCTATAAACCTGATGATTTACACCCAATTTGCAGGTGCATTTTTTTAAAATGTATGGCTAGTTAATACCTCTTATGCAAATGTATGCAAAGTAGGGTCTTACTGCAGCTTGCCGGATGCACAGTGCAAGCTGTGTGGCTGTGCCATATGTTTCCTGGCATATGTAAGCATGACGACGCAAAACTAGGGGGCTCCATTTCCCTATGGTGCAGGTCCCTGCTTTCAAGCCCCAAGTTCGCTACCCTCAACATTCAGCTTGGGGCTTCGTTTTCAAACACGCCCCAAAGGCAATGCTGACGGCGTCCAGTCTCACTGGAAACTGCACCAAAACCCTATGAAACAGCACCTGGCGTGTGGATGAGAAGCAGGATATAAGTCAACAGGGGGCCCTTGTAGCCGAGAAGGCTAATGGCATATTAGGGTGCATTAGGAGGAGCATTGCCAGCAGATCCAGAGATGTCATTATTCCCCTTTATTCGGCTCTGGTGAGGCCACATCTGGAGTATTGTGCCCAGTTCTGGGGCCCCCACTACAGAAAGGATGTGGACACATTGGAGAGGGTCCAGCGGAGGGCAACCAAAATTATTAGGCGGCTGGAGCACATGACCTACGAGGAGAGACTGAGGGACTTGGGTTTGTTTAGTCTGCAGAAGGAAAGAGT